GGAAAAGGAAAACCTCTTCAGCAAATGGTGCTGGAAAAACTGGATTTTCACCTGCAGAAAGATGAATCTGAGCCCCTACCTCTCACCTTTGACAAAAATCAAGTCAAGATGGATCAAAGGTCTAAATCTAAGACCTCAAACTATAAAACTGCTCCTAGAAAACACTGGGGAAACTCTGGGAGACATTGGAGTAGAGAAAGACTTCTTAAACAAGACCCCCAAAGCACAGTTGATCATCCCCAAAATAGACAAGTGGGATTACATCAGACTAAGAAGTTTCTGCGTGGCAAAAGACATAGTAATTAGTGTGAATAGACAGCCCTCAGAATGGGAAAATATTTTTGTAAATTATGCATCAGATAAGTGACTGATAACCAGAACTCACAAGGAACTCAAGAAGTTGTTCCAAAAAAAGATGATAAATCCTATTAAAAGATGGGAGGAGTTGAAAAAACCACTCTCTATAGATAACATACAAATAGCTAAAAGACATATGAAAAAATGCTCAACATTCCTCATTGTAAGGGAAATGTAGATCAAAACAACAATGAGATAACATCTAACCCCAGTCAGAAGGACTAAGATTTAAAAAAACAAAAAATGAGAAGTGTTGGCAGGAAGTGGTGAAAGGGGAAGTCTCTTACACTGTTTGTGGGAATGTAAATTGGTCCAGCCACTGTGGAGAACAATTTGGAGAGTCCTCAAAAGTCTACAAATAGAACTACCATATGATCCAGCCATCTCACTCCTTGGTATCTACCCAAAGGACAGAAGAATTCTTAATTGGAAAAGCGCTTGCACATCGATGTTTATTGCGGCACTATTCACAATTGCTAAGTCATGGAAACAACCCAAATGCCCACGAACAGCTGAATGGATAGGAAAAGTGTGACACATATACTCTGGAATACTATTCAACTATTAAAAAAAAAAAAATTGAGCCAGCCCCATAGCACAACAGTTAAGGGCAGTACTTAGGGAGCTAACTCTCACATGGCTGTCTGTGGTTTGAATCCTGGCCCCAGGAGTATGAAAGCACCTTGGGTACTTCTGTGTACATGCCCCAAATCCTGATGGAATGGAGTAATGGAGGAAAGAGAATTATGACATGACCATGCCTCATTGGGAAGGGTGCTTTCTTTTAGTCTCTATCTCTCTTTCTCTCACTCTTTCTCTCTAATGAGCACACGTGCCCCCCCCAACAAAAATAAATGAATAAAATAAAATAAAAATGATTGAGTAAACTTGCAATACTTCATAAACAGTCATTTATAATCCACCAAAAATATTCCATAATCAAATATATGCCTCATCTTGTCTTGTCAGGGACCCTTCCGAGATATCAACGAGGTGTTAGAACAACGCTACAGGCCCCTGGAGCCAACACTGCGGGTGGCGGAACCAATCAATCAGTTACAGTTGGCCAGAGAAGAGCTCAGGAAAGAGGAATGGGTGCGAAATGTAACTGACCAAAGGTGAGTTCTTAGCTTAAGAACAATACCTGTATCATGTTTGATACCTTAAATATTCTCATATTTTTATCTTATGATATTGTAGAGAACCATTAAAGTGTAAGACGAGATAAAGCTACCCTTGACCTATTTAGAGAGGTGATTACTTTTCAACATTTAAAATGAGATCCATTGATAGCATAATTAATGACCATATATATGCATTTGTGTGTGTATATACATATGTACACACATATGTATATACACACACATATATACATATGTACACACATATGTACACACATATGTATATACACACACAGAAAAATATATATTCGTATATATATATATGTGTGTGTGTGTGTGTGTGTGTTTAGATATATATATATACACACAGAAAAAATAATGAATGACATTTTAAGAAGAATAAATAAATACTCTATATGTATCTGTGAAGATACTTTCCTTAATTATCTAGTGAAAGCATACATACTTATGATGCTCCTAGGATAAAACCCAATAAAGCAAGAACATTGTTCATAACATGGACTTATTTCATTTGCATATACTGAAATCACATGGTAGTTTTCTTCTTTGAAAATTTCCACAGAGGGTGCATGTGCTTGTGGAGAGGGGGCAGAGGAGGGAAAGTGAGTAAGCACCTCCTATGAGGCATGGTCCGCGCTGCAATCCCTTCTCAATTTCTTCTTCTTTCAGGATTTTTGGGCACACATGCACACAGAGCTGGCGTATTTTTTAAGCCACTGGGTCCAAGTCTGGAAACATGTGGTGAGCCATTTGGGATCCAGTCACTTGAACTATCAGGTTATGAACTGATCCCACATTGTAGTTTTTTGTTTGTTTGTTTGTTTAGAGATTTTTGCTGTGGGTAGTATGCGCTCACCAGAGAGAAAGAGGCAGAAAGTGGAACTCACCCCCCCAGGGGGCATGGCCATGTGGCAGTCCATTTTCCATTTTCCTTTTGGGATTTTGGACACATTCACACATTCACCTTGAGTGAGTTTCAAACTGCTGGGTGGGCACTCAGACTGTGGTCAGCCATGTGGGAGTCCAGTGCCTTAACCACTAGCCTCCTGCTGGCCCCCCACATTGTAGTTTTAAAAAATAAGACACAATGAAAGAAATTCAGGGTTTTTTTTAATGTCTGAGGAAGATGATTGAAAAAGATAAAGAATGATCTGATGGCATGTGTAATTTTAAAGTATTTTATTAGTGTCATTGATTTGGGTCTTTGTCCATATTTCTCTCTACGAGGCACTTCTTTTCTCTTAAGGCACTTTATCATCGATAAAGTTATATATAAAAAATTTATAAATAGATCACTTTAAATCTAGAATGGCTTTATTATGATGATGATGATTCTATAAAGTTTCTTATAATCCTATTTTCAGCATATAATAATATAAGAGTTCTTCATATAATTTTTTTTTGAGAGACATTCTTGCCACAGGGTGTGTGCACTCACCTGAGAGAGAGAAAGACAGAAAGCAAGAAATTACCCCTCAGAGGGGATGGCCACATCACAACCCCTTCCCCTCCATTCTTCTCTCAGGGTTTTGGGTGCATGCGTGCACACACACACACACACACACACACACACACACGCATGTGGGCTCAATCTGAGTTTTAAGCCGTTAAGTCTGGACTCAACCACAATCGATTACGTGGAAGTCCTGTGACTTAACCATTTCACCATCTACTGGCCCCTTTCATAATAATTTTTATAATACTTTATATACTAAATGAGAAGATAGTATATTATTAGAGTACAAATGATTATAATGTAATCATTTTAGTATAAGATTATAAATGACTATACAATAGTATACTACTATAACATATAACATAACATTTTTATTATTTACATAATACATGCAATAATTATCATATATATTTCATAATAATTTATAGAATAATGATGACAAAATACATTAAAAAGTCTCTTTTGCTATATGAAAAATTAAAATGACCTCTTATCTATCATAGTATATTCTGGATTTTTTTTAGTCAAAAGAGATATATATAATATGCTTTTTTTTTTTTTTTTAGGTTTTTGCCATGGGGCCCTTGTACTCTCCAGAGAGAGAGAGAAAGAGAGAGAGAGGGAAAGTGAGAAATCACCCTCCAGGGAGAATGACCACACCGCAGTCCTTCCTCCATTTTCTTCCTGGAATTCTGGGCAAGCATGCCCAGCATGATTTTTTTCAAGCCACCAAGTCTAAGATTCCAACTGCAGTTGGCCACGTGGAAATCCAGAGCCTTAACCACCATACATGTACTGGCCCCTACTGTATTTTATTTTAATCATACATTCATGAAAAGTCTTTTGAAAAATTAAACTTTTTATTTGAATTGATGTCAAACATAAGCCTCTTAAATCATTCTTATAAAATTTTTCATTTTATAGCAGTTACTTGAAGTGAAAAAGTTAACTATACAATGTTTAGCAGATTCTTTCAATAATTGAATCAACGCAACATATGATGAATAAGAAAGTAAGGAACATTTTTTTCCAATTAGTTTTTGGGAGATAGATTTGTTTTACCACAGAGATTATAGAAGATTAATGCTGTTCACACCTACAATTCATACAATTTAGTGATGAATAACTAAAGAGTTATATTACTGAGGATTATTTTTCCATTTTCAACAGTACAAGGTTTATAAAAGAGCAAGATTAATTGCTAAAAGAAATAATTGAGATGTTTATTGATCATCCAATTGATATTTCTACAGAAATTTAGTCTTCCTGAGTTCGTATTTCCTAGTCTATAAAATGAAGATGGAAATGCTATCTTAAAAGGTTGTAATGAGGATTGAGTGAGATAATAAAGTGTCAGGCACATATTTGGATCTTAAGAGAAGATAATGATTATCATGCATTATATTTATTACAAATATCATTATTTTGCATATAAGAAATCAGAGAAGAGTGATGAAATCACAGATTCCGAAAATGACCTAGTTTTTATCCATAAATCTAGAGAAATAGAAGTTAAGGAGGACTTCTAGCAAAACTACAATATCATAAGATACAGGGTCCTAGCTTGGTAAAAGGTCTCTCCTTGAACTTCTAAAAGAGATTTTCTGAGTGTTTTAGTTTGGTAAGACAGTTACAAGAAAGTGCACAAACTGGGTGGTTTTAGCACATAAAGTTATTGTCTCAAAGTTCTCAAGGTTAGAAGTTCAAGATCAAAGTGTTGGCCGAGCTTCTGAGGGCTGTGCGAATGACTCTGTTTATGCCTGCCCCCTACCCTCTGGTGACTTGCTTGCAATCCTTGGCATTCCTCAGCTGATAAAAATGTCTGTTTGAATTTTTGCCTTCATCATCATGTGATCTTCTTGTGTGCATGTGTGTGTGTTCCAATTTACCTATTGTGTGAGGCCACAGTCATACTGGAGTAGAGGCCCACTCTGCTCCAGAAAGACCACATCTGAATTTGTCCTATCTGCAATGACTCTGTTTCCAAATGAAGTCACATTCTGAGGCACTGGGAGTTAGAACTTCAACATATACATTGGAAGAGAGAACACAGTTCAACCCACGACACTGAGAATGTTCTTAGTTGACTATTAAAGTTGACAAGAATGTTTCTTTTTTTTTTTTTTTTGAGAGGTTTTTGCTATAGGGCACATGTGCTCGCTATAAAGACAGAGAGACACAGAGAACGAGAAATCACCCCCCAGGGGGGATGCCCATGCTGCAATCCCTTCTCCTCCATTCTCCTCTCAGGATCTTGGTCACACATACAAACATGCCCAGTGTGAGTTTAAGCCACCAGGTCCAGGACTAGAACCGTGGTCGACTATGTGGGAGTCCAGTGACATAGCCATTACACCAACTGCTGGTCCCAGGAATGCTTCTTAATAATCACAAACTGATATATTATAACTATAACATACATATATTCTTTAAAATAAGCATAGACAATAAGATGATAAGAATTTATACAGAGGGTGGATTATAGAGGGAATTTTTTCAGAAGCATTTTAAAACTTTATTCCTGTTTTTAAAGAAACTCATTTTGTCATACCTTGTTGAAGAAAATTATGTTCCTTACTCACATGTCTATTTTTATGAATTTAGAAAATTAAGAATTAATAAAAATTATCAAGGACCCTCTGTATGAGAAGCTCTAATCTAGATATTGTGAGAAACAGAAAGTGTTTATTAATTCAACAAAGTTTACATGTCAGGAATAGTTGTAGGCTCTAGAGATACAATGAATAAAATAAATAAAGTCTCTATTTTCATGGAATTTATGGAAACCAAATCAGATGCCCTAGTGGAATTTTGAGTAAGATCACCAGGTGTTTGATAAACATCCAAGTGTGTGTATGAAAGATGTTTATTTTCTTCTTCTTTTTTTTTTTTAACGTGGAATTTGCTTTGGTTTTTGCTTATCTAGGAAAGAGTTCTTGACAGAGAAGGAACTGATTTGAATCCCGTGAAATATGGTTAAGATTTTGATAGAGGAAAGGAGAGAAAGTAGATAAAAGTAGGTAGATGATATAAAAAAGGATGGTAGGAAAAGTTGGCAAAACAATGAGAAGACCAATTTGACAGGGATAATTTTTATGTTAGAGGGCAGTAGAAAGAAAAATTGTAAAAAACTTTAAGATGATATGTTCTGTAGATAATGGAAAAATTATTTAAGACTTTTGAGAAAGATATATTACAAAAAGAAAAAGAATTTGTTGGTTGTGAAACATGTTATTTTAGAAGAAATATGTTGATGTAATTAATCTATATTGCACTAATTTTGGTGAAGTAATGTGATAAAACTATGATGATGGCAGATTTAATCTGCTTTTTTTCTTTACTTCCCTCTTCTTTCTGAACATAATCTGAGTAATTATTTCTATCTGAAAGACCAATTTCCATCTCTATACCAATGATTTTCTTTTTTAAAAAATTATTTATTTAATTTATTATTATTTTAATTTGCTATGGGGCATGTGCACTCACCAGAAAGAGACAGAGAGAAAGAAAGGGAAAACTT